CAACCTTCATAATGATTCTGAATGACTATATTTTTACAGACAAAATTACAACAGCTGTGTATTAATATTTTACAAAAACAACACGTCAAACCTAATCAACCGATATCTTAAATAATTCCGCGAACACGATTCTCCCCGAGGAACCGGTACGTACGCTGAATAAGCGAACGCCGCCCCGTCATCCCTTAGGATTCCGTGGCGCCGCGTCGTTTGAAATTCAGCGTCGAGGGCGACAGCTTGGTCGCGTCAGCGCTGCACGGCCGGCGCCGCCCGAAGGCGATGGCGCAATTCCTAAGCGCCAGCCGCGCCAACGCGACGAGCGCAGCGGGCGCGGAGACAACAGCACCAGCGCGCGAGGACGCCGCAAGGGTCGGACCGCTCAGGCTGCTGAGTTCGACGCACACGCGGCTCAACTTTTGCTCAGACGTCAGCGCTAGTCTTTCGCAGAAAAATGTTTCTTTACATGAAATCCATTTATGAAAGTATTCTTATTAGAAAAGAAGCTGAATAAATGAACTGGGAGAGGTGACTCAGGGACTCGACTAGCTAGATATCTGAGCCGAGTTCGGCCGCAGCCTGGAGGAGAACTCCAGCGGCCGGCCGCTCTGATCGGTAGATTTCCGTGGTTACTCCGACCAATACCAAGAGAATGCCGGAGCAGTTCCCTTACAAACGGGCTACGGACCGCGCGCGATCTTTCCTTCCTCTTGCTTGTCCTATACTCACCCCTTATCGATTACTATCACTTTCACTAATATTACCACTTTTACCGGGAGATCGGTCGGGAGTTTAGAGCCGGCGGAGCGGTGCCCGCTTGTGGGAGATACCTGTTTGAGGAAAATCCCGCCGAATCTCACCATCTAGATGGGAAAAATCACCGTCATCTCCTTAGAAAAAATGCGCTACATTTACGGGACTAATGACCTTAATAGTTGACGCCACCAAACTCATTCATCAAGCAATCATCTGATGACTGACATACTCTCGTATCAACACAGAGCCGAATGTACTGAAGCCAAAAGTGCGAAATTCCAAACATAGATAACTGATACAGCTATTACTAAGATGGCAATCATTAAGAAGGTCGGTGGAGGATTTCGATAGTTGACGTGTACATCGTCGCCAGATATCACGTTCCAGCGAGGGAAGGAACACCACCACAATCATCCTCATCCTCATCATTATTAGAGAAATAACAGGTACTAACTTTATGGGACTAATAACCATACTAGATGCTCCAGGAAATAGTAAATTACCAACCCATCACATTCAGTACTTCATTCAACCCAGCTGACAAGCTAGTGTCGAAAATCCTGCCACCGTTTGGGCTCGAACGTACAACCTCCCTGTCAGAGGGACTGCAGTGACAACTGTTGATGCCCTAACCCATCTCTCCAGGTACCCTCTTCAATACATTCAGGCATTATGGATTGCAAGGCAGCGGTGCGGGAATGATAGAAGCTTGGCGAGGAGGGGTGGGAACGGGAATGGGTCGTGTGGGGACCGTCAGGTCCGGGTGGGAGAGCAAGCGAGATGAGGAACATGGCGAAGAAACGTGCTGGGAATGGTAAGGCGAGGCAACCGATGCGGGCTGGGTTTTAGAGGGGGTCTGAGCTAGACTTGAGGGAAATGTAAATAACATTAATTATATTTTACAGTATTGATGTAAATTAGTTATATATATTACATATTACTGTCTGAAAGATTATCGTGATAATATTACAAAGGGGAACCTATGGTTACTGTATCTAATTGTACAGTAAATGAGTTTTGCTACCTACTAAATTACGACATTCCTTTCCAGTAAAGGTATTTCATTAATGAAAATATATTGAAAACTTTGGCGAATTAAGATGGAAAATTATTTTTCTTTGCAGTTTGTATGATCGAGTAGCAATAAATGAAAAGAAATTGTTCGGACTGTATACTCACAGAGAGGAAGCGGGAACTGTGGAGAAAACTGAGGGGTGGAAGCAAAAAAAATACGTTTGAGATTGTTGGTTAGAACCTGCGGTAGTCCACCTACTCTACGAACTATAAAGTAATTATTTTTCGTAATGAAAAAAAGTATATTTATTTCTGATACACATTACAAAAGCAGGAGCAACAAAATAGAATATAATATAATGTTACCAATTAGTAATTTTATACTAATATACAAGTAAAAGTATAAAAAATCTCATATTTTGCAATGACGGCACTGAATAAGAGTTGGAATTCTTATACTCCCCTATATGAGTTTTTGTGATCATTTTATTTTTTAAAAGAGCTTGATACGAACACACTTCCGTAGATACACATTATTTAGTTTAACAATAATCCTATGTTATAATTTATATAAGTTATATGCCAAATGAAAGTGAATACATTTTTCAGTATTATTTATTTTAAAAATTATTCATTGTGAACGTTATTCATTCAGTTTGAATCACTTTCTATCGTCCTAGAATGTGACTTTTGTGAATTTTACTTTTTGACAAGTTGGTAAATTCATTAATTATTCAAGGCACATTGTTGAGAGAGAAACGTAATGACACAAATTATTAGTTACTACTATGTGTTAGTTCCATTTATTATTCTCATTCACAGTAAATTTACTTTTCTACATTCAAGTATGGAAACCACTACTTTTATTTGCTATTTATTGCTAGAAAATTTCTACCTACGTACGCATACGCGAAAGTTGAACTTTGCAGAAGTGTACCGTGAAACAATCATAGCCATAAAAACAATTATATAAAACACTGAGCCAGCGTCAATCGGTAAGACTGGTTTATTACGTATTGTAAGCAATTCAACAAAATACACATGCATTTTTACATGAATTTGCAATTACAAATAATGTATGCAAATCTTACGAACGTGTCTTTGTACACATCTTGAATGAAAAACATTTAATTAGTACGTCAAATATTTACATTCTGTACTAGTTACGTAAATAACTGTTGTGATTGTTGTGGGCAGTTGCGCCTCAATTTATTCCCTTTAATGTCCTGATCTGATTATAGTATAGCGATGTTTGGTTCGATTCCGGCAAAACCCTTGTGGTAGGACAACAAGGGGCAAGCGAGTTCATTTTCAGATGTACGTCATGTGCAGCATTTCATAAGCTTTCCTTATAAGGTTCCTGATTAACACAAGACGTCTAAAGAAAGACACATCACACTCAAATGAATATGGTATTCATTAATTTTCGAACTTTTGGTAAAAGAGTTCCTGCCAGACATATACAAATTCAGTAATTTTAGCTGAGTAAAATTGTATTCAAATTTATCTTATGTCTTTTAAATTCAAACGTTATTTTCCAACTCAACGTTAGAATGTTAGTGAACATTCAATTACCGTGAGACAATTGTATTGAGGGTGCTCGTCCCCTCCTCGATCTGTGGCTAGATTAGCTAGACGCTTTTGGCTATTTTACTGCATCCAATTTTCTTATTTATTATTTCATATTGTGGTCCGCCAGAGGAAGCATGTGTACAAGGCCCGTGAAACATCACAAATAACTTTTTAACACCAAGATAATAAAAATTGTAGTGGCCATATTGTTTCTCTTTAATCATACGAAATTAAACAATGAAAAAATTAAAAAAAAATTCGCAAATCGACTTTATCACGAGCGTCTTAACAAAAGAAAAAAACTTTAGGTGTTTTTTCTCGCTACAATTGCACTGATACCGGGATCAGATTACCGAATTACACGGATACTGAAATTTCTGTATCCATAGATATACTTTATGTTTTTCCAAAAATTTCGTTGCCAAGGCACTACAATACAGCCGTGTTTAATGGTTCTAAAACTCAACGAATTGCATGTTATTTTGTTTTGAGGTTCTGCGATTTGTCATAAGGACAATTTAACTAGTACTACATGTAATTATTAAAAAATAAAAAAAATCCAAGGCCAGAAAACAAAAATTATTGTAATAAAAATACATCAATAATACTTTAGAAGAATACAGCTATGAGAATTTTATATTATCTCTGCCTGACATCATACATTTTGAACGACATTCCTGTAGAGAGTTGAACCTGCAACAGAAGAAGTTCTTCATAAAAAAAGCAGTTAACGCCAAGTTAAAAGTTCAATAATAATAATAATAATAATAATAATAATAATAATAATAATAATAATAATAATTGGTACACTGTGTCATTACATTGACGTAGCATGCCGTCCTCAAAACGGAATTTATAAAATTGGAGTCATGAAATACACTATGATCAAAAGTATTGGTGATCATATAGTGTATGGTAAGGTCGTGGTGTCTGATCAATGGTGTTATGGTGTGGTCGTGTTTTGCAGTCGCTTGCACCCCTTGCGGTCGTGTTTTGAAGTCGTTTGCACCCCTTGTTGTTTTGTGTAGAACTATCACAGACGAAGGCCTACGTTGATGTTTTAAAGACCTTCTTGTTTCCCAAGCTGAAGAGCAATTCGGGGATGGCTATTCCATCTTTCAACACGATCCAGCTCCTGTTCATACTGCACGGCCTGTGGTGGAGTGATTACACGACAATAACGTCCCTGTAATGGACTGGTCTGCATAGTCTTGACTTGAATCCTATCGAACATCTTTGGATGTTTTGGAACGCCGACTTCATTCCAGGCCTCGCCGACCTACATTGATACCTCTCCTCCGTGAAGAACGGGCTGTCATTCTTCAAGAAACCTACCAGCGCCTGATTGAAAGTATGCCTGCGAGAGTGGAATCTGTCATCAAGGCTAAGGAACGGCCAACACCCTATTGAATTCCAGCATTACCGAAGGAGCGCGCCACGAACTGGTAAGTCATTTTCAGCCATGTGTCCGGATACTTTGGATCACACAGTATAACTATGTAGATTCGAACATCCAATTTCAAAATTATACCGAAAGGATTCCTATTACGAACATGAAATTAACAACATAACTTATACCAGGTCGTATAGAAATTCCATTGTCTATTGTTGTCTGATTGTTAAGCAGATATCGGAATATTGTTTCAAAAAAACGCCACGTCTTACCTATTTCCTTCTTGACATCCTCTCGAGGTTCCAAACTCAACTTTGCAAATTTTTAAAATAGGATCATAGTACGTATGAAATGTTGGTATAAAACATCTCACATTGCTTACAGGAAAATCACATGTTTTGTTATTATTCGTATTAGCATCTGACATTTTCCCGTCGTTCCTGCTCTCATTCCATTTTCCTTTCTCTGTGTCTCCATATATAACACTCCCATTAGAGTCCGCTCTGTCATCCTCCAAGCTATTCCTTTCACGGAGGTTTCGAAGTACAAAATCCAGGAAAGTGGTGGGTGGAGGATGATTCCATTCATAATTCCGCTCCTCTGATTGACCAGCGTCTGCCAACCTTTCCAGGAAAAATGAAGCAGAATCCTTTATCGGGTCTTTAATTAGTAGATCATCTATGTTGTCTCCTTGGGTTGTCAATCTCGGTGAAGGGAAATCTCCAAAGTCACTTCTTGGAATTTTCAAATATTGTGTTCGTACAGGTACAATCACAGGTAAAGATGGTGAATTTCGTATTGCTTTCCCAGAACTTCTGAACAGCCACTTGAAAAGTCCTTTGAAGGCAGCTCCATCTGTAATGAGGATGAAGTTAAACAATTATATTATTGTCATTAAAGACTAACAATCTAATAAAGCGATAAAAATAAGTATGAAGACTGAGTAACACTATTTGCGAGAACGTAGGCTTCCGCGGCCGGAATCAGTAGCTACTTGGCAGTCTGGGAGACGCCATGTGGTGCCATCGTTTTGGTCGCTCTTCTCCGAGCTTCCTCACAACGAAATGTATATGGCCCTGAGAAAGGTCACAGAATGGCAGCCGAAACGTTGGCCTCTGAGCCTAGGTTGCGGCGTCTCTCAGACTCCCTAGAATGATATTACAATGATAAGATATAGGTATGGTTAAATTGTTTCACGAACTATCTATTGCAAACGCCACATAAAATCTCACTCAATGGATATTATAATTGTAATACCATGATAACACACATTTTACACACACTTTCCAGCCAAATGTATTTAGTATTATGTTATAATTACCGATGAGAATACGATTAGATTTTTGTTTATTTACTTGCCGTAACGGCAGAAGTGAATCAAAGAATGGGTAGTACGTAACTATCCTTTAATATTTGAGAGGTAAAATACTGAAGATGAGAAAATACTGGAAGTATATTTGTTAATATACGAAAACAATTGTAAATTGCGATCTTATATTTTTTTTAAATATTACTATTTATCTTTTCCCTTAACGGAATTCCATGACCTTTTTTCAAAATCCTCAAATTTTATTGGCATATGCGGATAGTTATGTTGAAAAAGATTGGATTAATATATTATTTTACATTCATGTTAAAAATTAAATAAAAATAATTAAGCACTAGTCCTAAAAGTGAAAGTTGTTCGAATGTTTAGACAGAACAGGGCGACTTCAACAAAGAAAACAAAATACTTTCGTCGGATCCTATCCGTGCGATCAGTCAGTACAACTGACATTAAAGTAGCACACAAAGTAAACAATAAATCACAGGCTTTGTATGTTTGAATTAAAATAAAATGAAAGTCACTAAGGTTGTATAAAAAATAATATATTGCACACGTGGTTTTATTTTATTTTGCTCTTAGGATTGCACTACCAAACAAGAGAAATTAGAATACAAGTTTTTTAATAATTTAAATCCTACTATTAACACGAAGAATGTTTGTAATTAATGTACACATAAAGTTAGACATAACCCATGACTTCGTATTAACTATTTTCAACATCGTTATATCATCTTTCGTAGTAGTTAAGTTAAAACGAAAATTGTATTTCAGTGAAATTAAGAAAATTGTATTTCAGTGAAATTAAGAAAACTGGATAAAACGCACAAAATTCGTATTTTAACATCTTCTTGCATTATTGGTTGTTGTCATTGATTGTTTGTCCAACTCGACCTAACCGCCTCGTTAATTCTCCAATCAGGTGTTGTTGTAATGACATGCCTTTCGAAACATATTTCTAACGTAAATAGCTATTTTTCCTAACGTTGCCGTAATTTAACACAACATATCAAAGTGTAAAGTATAGAGAGAGAGAGAGAACACTGATTTTTACACTGAAAGAGTATAGTAAATTCTCAATATCTAACCACACGGTAAGAAAATTTCACATGCACCCAAAATTAAAAAAGTTGTCAGACAGGAGACTTGATAAATGTTTCCCTATGTATGTTGACGCGCAGAATCTGAATCCGAAGCCAGAATCGCGTCACAACCTTCCTGTGTTTTTTAAATCACAAAAAATCACCGTCAAATCGTCGATTGTAAAATTTACGGTGTTTTTCGCGATAAAAAACTGGAGAGTGGTGGCGCATTTCTGGCTTCATATTCAGGTTCAGCGCTTCAATATAATAGAAAAACATGTGTCAATGCTTTGAAACTGACAAGTTTCTTTTGTGCGTGCCTTCGTTATTCTTCATCGACCTTCTCATTTTAATTCCACCTATGACATTTCCCAGGAGTTGCCAGGGAATATCAGAGGTATGGCGCACAGATCTTCCAACTAATACGAGAACGAGTGATTGGAGGTCAAATAATTTCCATGGGATCATTATAATTTTCATTGACAAAAATAATGTCCTTTTATTGATTACTTTATTTTCATCACATTACTGAAATTCCTAACAGTGATGACACAAATTGCCTGTCGTCAGTTTACTTCTTACGATGAGAAGAAAAAGATCTGTTTACATTCATTTTTCAATTTGCAATAAACTTACTTGGTACATTTAATTTTGCTGTACAGTGTTTCGAAAATTTAAAATCATGGGCCAACACGATAAAGTTCTATACAATTGAAAATGTTAATTTACATTAAAAAGAAAAAAAAATAACGTAATACAAAAATATGCTTTGCTAATGTAAACTTCGCACTTCAAACTTAGAACAAAATAACTTTTCAACCTTTATCCGGAAAAACAAATCAAGTGAAAATACTTCATTGATATTAGGGTGACTAACGTATGGTATTAAAAATAACTCATGAAATTGTCAAAAACAACTCACCTTGTGGCACGATGAAGCAGACCAACAGCAACACCAGCGTTGTGCAAGGCTCCATGGTTGGAAGTGAATAAATTATTCGCGTCATTGGACATCCTTAAGAGGGCATCACACTTCACACAATTGATTCTGACGTTGAGAAGGGTGGTAAAAAGGAAACGAGCTGCTAGTGAAGGGGAAGTTAATTGAAAAGTTTATGATCGATCATCGCCGTTAATCGTTTAAGAAGTAGATGTGCACAGTCAGCAATAAAATATGTGCTAAACAAAAGATACGATAAATTAAAGAACTAAACAAATAATTACCAAAACTTGAGACATTGCTACAGATACAATTTCAGATTCACAAGAAACGCCATTTCCAATTACTGGTTATGCAATATTTTGCAACAATATGCTTTTTTTTCAGGAAAAGTACAAGCTGTGTACCACTACAAACATTATTTACTACCTTCCCTTTTGATCAATTTTCGCTAGATCGTAAATTACAAACATTGCAATTATAAAATCCATTATTATATCAAGTATATTATTATTTAGGGGTGAAACTAAAAAGTTTGACCAACCGTAAATAAGTTTCTAATATGTTTCAGAATACGCATCTGTGTCTTTCCAACAAGAAGACTTTAGAATTTGAATAACACTACTCCAGAATTATTTCTGAAGTCGACAGAGAATATATATATCTATTTTAATACAGTTAATACAATCAATAACCTTTTTAAGATAAAAATTGTATAATGCATGAAACGGAGAATAAGTGTCTATAATTTTATTCAAAATAAAAGCGAAAGCTATTTATAGTATTCAAGATGTAACACGTGACTCCGCTGACAAAGCATCGTAATGGCTGACCAGAATTGTCCCTTAAGCCGTCTTGCAGTTCTCCGTCTTATATTTTAACCTTGGCGCTCGGACAAAAACTATAGGCATGGGGCAGAAGTTCCTCTCCTCAACACATAAACAGAATTCATATTCAATAGAAGAAACTTATAGCGGTTAATTTTAATTAGTAAGAAATGCCTTTTCCTAGGTTTTGTCTGAATAAAAATCGGCGCCTCACATTAAGTCGGGGGCTGGAGCAAATTTTCCAGCTGCCTACTAATCTGGATACCACTGTTTTTAATACTTGGCTTTGGGCGAGTGTCTCAGCTGAGGTCACAGTTCCATAACCAACCACAATTTATTTTCTATTTTTTGGTGTTCAAATAAGCGTAACTGATGATTACTTTGTATGTCCGTGAGTGTCAAGTGTTGCTGTAATTAGTCATCTTCTTACCCCTGTACGTATTACACTCCGAAAATTGACAATATTCCTACTCCCTGGGACGTTAAATCCGGCGACAAACTACACATCGGCACATCGGCTTGTGAAGGTTTTCTTGCCCGCCGGGTATTTATGTTATATAATAAGCAAAATATGTTATTTAAAATCTACAAGAAACTGCACGCCCTGATTGGCGGTTTTAAGGTAGCGAAACATTGTGTTCAATATATTTTCAACGCTGTCATTACTTTAGTAGGCTGTCATTATTTGCATGCAGTCCGAGATTTAAGAAACGTGTGAAATAAGCAAGAACCTATTGAGAGCTGAATAAGAAAATTGAAGTAAAAATATAGGTATTCTTTTCTTGGGGCAATATTGAATGACGCTTCATCCTACTACGTGACAAATATCACGTTTAATAAGATTTGATTTTGAAGTTTCGGACACTGGTGCCATTACAATTCTACCATCATTGCTGTAAATTATCCATTTGATTATTGTACTCATCACTCAAAATTTAGTACTTGAGAAATATAATAACCGACTGGAGTAATTAATTTACAGGTTTGTCTGCTATCTTCTTCCGCAATCAATACATGCTTTAATACAGCAGATTGTAAACGTCATTTCCCTTCCTTCTCCATCTGTTTCTTCACTCGCTGTGTACATCTATTTTTTCCTTCATTCATTCTTCTTTCTTCCTTTTTCGTTCCCACAATCTTCTCTCTCTCCCTTTCCACTCCCTTTCTCTCTCGCCCTCTCTCTTCCTCTCTCTCTCCGTCTGTCTTTCTCGCTCGCTCTCTCCCCCACACACATTTACACAGACACACACTTACACACACTCTTTCTTTCTCTGACACATTATTCTGTCATTCTCTTTCATTCTTTTTTCTTTACTTCTTCACTTAATTTACTTCACTTGTTTACTTAATTCGTATCTTCTAGTGACAGAGGTAAAGAGAAGAGGGCAGATGAAAGTAAATGGAGACCCCAACAGCCTAAGGACAAGTGCGACACGAACGTTTAAAAACCTTTGCGGGCAGCAAGACGACAAACCAACAAGACTGAGGCATGAGGCTTAGCAACGAGCGTTTGGAATATAAGCCTCAGGTGGCAAAAGCAGCACCTCTGCAAGGAGAGGGGCGACGCATGCGGCGCTGGCGGCGCAATACGCGTGTCGGCTGGGCGGTGCAGCAGGCCTTATTTCGGGCGCGGTTACGAGTTCGACGAATGGCAGCACGCCGGCGCTGCGGCCGACTCCCCCTCCGTCCCCCAACACCCCCCCAAACCCCCGCCTCGACACCTCGATGCAGCCCGCCCACCTCGTACCCCGCTCGCCCCACCCCCCCCCCCCGCCCCGCCCCGCCCCGCCCCACCCCTCACCTGTCAGGTTCTCCCCGCCTTCTTCTACCCACTCAGCCACACGACTCGCCTCATTCGCTCTGTCAATTCCCCACCCGCCGCTTGCCCCGCCCGCCCCGCCGCCCGGCTTCTCAGTTCCCCGCCTTCTTCACCCTCTTCCACGCTACACGAACTCGCCCATTCCGCTCCTTTCAACTCGCCCACTCCGCCCCGCCTTCATTCTCCCGCCTTCTTCATTTCTAAGGACTCTCTCATTCCGCTCTTACAACTTCTCTTCCACCTCCCTGCTCGCCGCCCGCGCCTGTCAGTTCTCCGGCCCTTCTTCACCCTCTTCATTCCTAAGACTCTCCTCATTCCGCTCTGTACAAACTTCGCCCTGCCCGCCCGCCTGTCAGTTCTCCCGGCCCTTCTCCACTCTTCACCGCTACACGACTGCCTTCATCCCCTTGTTCAACTGCCCCCCCGCTTGGGCCCGCCCGCCCCCGCCCGCCTTTGTTCTCTCCCGCCTTTCTTCACCTCTTCATCCTACACACTCGCCTCATTCCGCTCTGTTCAACTCCGACCCGCCCCCCGCCTTGCCCCCGCCCCGCCCCGCCCCGCCCGTCCTTGCAGTTCTCCCCGCCTTTCTTCACCCCTCTTCACCCTACACGACTCCCTGCAATTTCCGCTCCGTTGAACTCCCCGCCCCACCCCGCCCCGCCCGCCTGTCAGTTCTCCCCGCCCTTCTTCACCCATACACGACTCGCCTCATTCCGCTCTATACAACTCCGCCCCGCCTCGCCCTGTCAGTTCTCCCCGCCCTTCTTCACCCCTCTTCACGCCTACACGACTAGCCTCATTCCGCTCTGTTCAACTCCGCCTCGCCCCGCTTCTCCCCGCCCTCGCAAAAGCAGGCGTTGCGGGCTGCGGCAACTGCCACGTCGGCGCGCGCGTTCGCCAATGGCAGAGCCGCCTCCGCACGCGGGTTCTTGCGAGTGCCCTACGAACAAGGAGTCAAATAGAGCGGAGCGGAGAGGAGGAAAATCGTGAGTGCCCGCAAGTGCTGCGGTTGGATCTGTTGAAGTAGTGAGAAAACGATGGAAACCTAACACTTTCTCAAGCAAATCTCACTAGGTTCGATTAGCCTTTTCAAATAAATTGACATTCTCCCGAAATGTATTACTCATAAAAACGCACGTAAACGTAATCTAAATATATACTTATCAATTGATTAATCGTACACGAGTACTGAGGGTCACGGGCCATGCTAGAATAAACAAAACATAAACATAACGCGGATGTGTGTAATCAAAGTGTCTTAAAATATCCGCGAATGAATGTCAAAGTTGGAAGTAGATTGGTTGTTGCAAATTTGTTACCTTTTAATACAATATAAAACTATTTACCTCCAAATTGTATATTTTACGTGATTAGGTTACTGCAATCATTCTTTCATTTTCTGGACGAAAAGACTACAACCAACTTTGCATCTAACGAATTTCCATTTGATGTTTTTTGCCGTTAATTGGCCTATGCCGAAAATTTTGTATTCCACATTGTTTGCCCACTTTAGAAAATAAATAATATACTAAATAATGTGTATACTTGCTAAGTATTTCAAGTTAGATTAATTAGTCATCTGCGTATCATTCTGAGAGAAAACTATTTAAACATTGTGTAATTTATTGCTATTATGTAGACTGACTACCTGAGAACGAAGAAAGTTGGAAGATAGTTTTCATAGAAGAATATCGAATAATTTATTATTCTACGGTGGGTTAAAAAATATACATCGTAGATCATTTTTAAGCGTTCATCTCCATTAAGTGAGAATCTCTCATCAAGAGATAAAATGTTCTGAGCCACGTTTAATAGCCATAAGACAACGTATTTGAATGTATATCACCCAACTAAATTATTACTATGATCAATGTGTATGTATTTGGTATTGAGATACCGGATGTTTGGCGTCTCTCCTTGTGAGTAGAAATAGTGGTTTTAGTAACGAAACTTTTTCTGTGTCCCTGGGTATCATAACAATGATTTCATCCTCATAAGATGCAGAATGTTATATAAAAATGTGGAGAAGGGGTATTTTAGTTTTTACCATATTTTTGAATATTTATCGATTTGTGACAAATTTTGCTTCTTATGTCGTAAGTGGGACACATGGCAAACCCATAATAATTAATACGAATTTTCGTAATTGCACACAGTTCACTACGTAGTGGTCTGCGTATGCTAAACACTATCGTATTCACGGTAGTTGAACGACACTTTTCTCCAATTGTGGACGTGTATTTACACAGGAGGTACCATTTCAGCCGAATGAACCTGCTTAATCTTCCCCATGTGTCCCATTAGGACAGCGAGGCTAAAATACCTTCCACTTCCTTCCATGAATATGCTTCCCCTTCTTTCAAGGCAGATAGAACGCGAGATGATGAATGGGATCATTTATT